GAGAGAGAGAGAGAGAGAGAGAGAGAGAGAGAGAGAGAGGTAGAGTGACAAAATAATGTTAGCTTTAATTTGAAGGTGATCATTCATAAAGTCTCTTTTGACTTTATATAGGGTATTATATGTGCCTAAGGTCATATATAAGAAACATTAATTGAAGTATTAATTTTAAGATATATTACCATAATTAAATGTGATAAACATTAAATATGTGTACTATTACCATAATTAAATATAAAAGATATTAATTATGAAAATTATTATTTATAATTAATATTTATCACATTTAATGATGATAATATTGCTTATAATTAATATTTCAATTAGTGCTTCTTATATGTACCCATATTAGAGAAATAACTATTATTATTGAGAAATTAAATATCCTCGTACAATCTTCTCCTACTTAGCCTCCTATCCGTCTTAAATGATAACAAGTGGATGAAAATGTTATTCAACAAAATTAAATATGACACATGTAATCATTTGACATTGATAGAAAGATGGTAGGAATAAATTATAAGAGGATATTTAATTTATCTTTTTTACTAGTAATTTATTTTACTGATTTATTATCGAGAACTAACAAAATTTATATTTGAAAGAAATTAAAAAGTAGTTGCGCCAAATATCGTGTAAAAGGACAGGAACCTCTAAGAATGGGATTATATATTCTCTTATCCTTAAAACTCCCTTGGTTTTACATGTTAGGCCTATAGACCACATTCTGGTTGTAACAAAGTTTTGATTTTATTTGTCAATACTAGAGACGACAGATTGTCAAAATCGACAACCAAGGAAATTATGCCAGTGGCAATGGCAATTTGGCACATGGGTCCTCCCTATTATCATACCAGTAATGAAATTAGGAGTTATGACCATTTGACAAATTGACGATGAAAGGTCCCTACGACAATATGTATGATATGGATGGGAAGAAAAGATTACCCGATAATAATTAATGGTTGGTATCAAAAGGTTGCCCAAATGAAAAGAAAATCTTACCAACTGGGATTTGAAGTTAATTTCTACGCTCTTTACACCCGATACACATTTGGCTTTTAAAAACCAAGGATCTCGAATGTCAACGGAAATTGTGTACCAATTTAGTTTTTGTGTGTTTATGGTCTAATCTTTTACAATTTACAAAACATATGTAAGATTTCCCCGTAAGGAACCTGGGTCTGATTAACTCACAAAAAGGTGCATCTATATCAGTTGGAGACTGAGCTCTCCTCAAAAATCTTTTACTACAGTTTACTATTGTAACTAATAAATAATCCATTTAGTTATAAACAATTTAGAATAGGAGAAGAACATTATTATCAGTAAACTCATTAGAAGTCATGCTTTATATAGGAATTAACAAAAAGAACCCTATGGTATATGTCGTATATCAGCAACAATACATGAGTTGTAGAACTTCATCGCAGCCTATACCTGGATTTCTTCTAATGTCCAAAGAACATCTTTCACTGTCGGCCTTGCCTTAGGATTATACTCAACACACTGAAGAGCTAACGCCATTACCTTGACCAACACATTTCCATTGTTGGAGTTTTCTTGCATGAGTTTCTCATCAAACACTTGATCAAACCACTTTTCTGCTGGTATCGACTTCACCCAAGATGGCAAATCAATCGGATTGATACCAATGTAAGTACTCTGTCCTGTTAAAAGCTCTAACATTATTACACCAAGGCTATATACATCAATCTCTGTTGTAGCATTTGCTACTCCGGTGAACTCTGGTGCACAATTGTTTCGAAACCTCCGTGGTGTGGCAGGCATAAGCCATGAGATGCCAACGTTACAAATCACTGGATTGTACAACTCATCGAATAATACAATGCCCGATTTTAGTTCTCCATGAACTATCTTTTCTTGGTTGTGAAGGTAGAAAAGGCCTCTTGTGATACCCAAAATCGTGTGCATCCTAGTCGCCCAATCAAAAGTAATCATAGGCCTACCCTCAGTTTCAAAAGCTGCAAATACGTAGTAAGTAAGAAAATCTGTTAATTGTAAATTTCTAATAAAACATCATATGATAATAATAGTGAGATTTGGTTTATCATACTTACGTAGTATGAGACATGCAACAGTTCCATTGGGTATAAACTTGTAGACGCATAATGTCTCCCCTCTTCCCCAGTAATAGGCAGTGAGGTTCAATACATTTGGGTGACGAAGCTTACCAAGAGATGAAACTATAGACACAAATTTCTTTCGGCTTAGTTCAGTTAGTATTCGTTTTACAATTACTTGAAAATCTTCTGCAAGATATGCTACATATGTTCTGCAGTAGCGATTTCCATTTAGATACTTATTAGACGCAGTAAGCAACTCGGAAATAGTGAAATCAAACCCACTGTCGAAATGAACCAACTGTCCACCATACTCGCTGTCTGCATCTACTTTAGACCCTAGTTTTAGGCCTAACTTGTTAACTTCATCAATTCTTTCACTTGTTGCCACACACGCTCTGATCAATTTACTAAATTTTGTGACTTTAGAACTGAAACTTGACCCTACTTTCTTCCTCACTTTACCGTTTTCAGCACAAGGATCGGACTTCTCTTGTAGTGACAATGCAAGCTCAAGTTTTGCTACAACCTCAGACATGATAGGCCTTTGATTTGCATGAGCATGTATGCAACTTACAGCAATTTGTGCAAACTCCTTCAAACAATTAGTCGATATTTGGTCCTTCAGCCTAGAATCCACAATCTGAGACAATTTTCCGTCTTTTATAGAACTTTGAGCCCATGCAGCTAGACCCCATTTCTCTTCTTCAAGACTCGTGTCCACTGCTGGCCTCCCGCACAACGCCTCAAACAATACAACCCCAAAAGCATAAACATCGGATTTTCTTGTTAATTTGCTCGTATAGAAATACCTTGGATCCATGTACCCAAACGTGCCCTTGACTCCAGTGCTAACGTACGTATGCGTCTGATTAGTAGGGCTTACCTTGGCCAACCCAAAGTCTGAGATTTTGGCTGCATAATTTTCATCCAATAATATATTGGAGCTCTTCACGTCCCGATGTATAATTCCCTGTTTAGTGCCTGTCCCAGTGTGAAGGTAATCTAACCCGCGAGCTGCACCTATACATATCTTGAGTAGTAACAACCAAGAATGAGAAGAAGTGACAGGTTTTTTATGAAGAAAGCTTTCAAGGGTTCCCAGTGGCATATACTCGTACACAACGATCATCTCTTCTCCTTCATTACAATAACCAAGCAAAGATGCTAAATTACAGTGCCTCAACCTAGAAAGCATCTCAACTTCTGCCCAAAATTCGGAGGCTCCTTGACAGGAATCGACATGCAACCGTTTGATGGCAGCAACCACATCATTTAACCCGATCTTGATGGCACCTTTATAAACTTTTCCAAACCCACCACGACCGATGACTAAATGTTCATTAAAGTCCTGGGTGGCTATTTGAATCTCTGAAAGTGAAAATCTCTGGCATACTTGTGTTTGTAATGATTGTTTTTGTGAATCATTCATAGTTTCACTTAAATAGTATGAGGACAAAGATATCGGAAAGCTGTATTATTAACAGTTTTAAGATCAATGTAGTAGTCTTTGTACCAAAATCATAATTTCTTGAGTTGCTTATATTATTGACAGGTGCAATTATTGAGCAATTCATAATCATGGTCACGTAGCAGACATTACCTGAACACGCCCGGGGTGATTCGGTCAACAGCATATCGGCCCACGAAAGAGAAGCAGCTGAAAAAAATATATATATTGACTCAGCCCATTTACTTTTTAATCTTTTAAAATATGTTTTGTACCGCCGGTAATATCTTTCATCAAGAAAATGAAAGTCTTTTTGTTATATTTAAAGGGCAAATTTTTGAAAAAGTTCTAAAATTTTATCTTAATTACCAAAAAATTCCAAACTAAAATTTGTTTATGAAAAACATGAAATATCACTAAAAATGACGATTTAACCCATTTTTCCCGGTTTATAGGTTTCCTTACTTATCTGTTTCAGTAAAGTCCAAATAATTTACCATAATTTATGAATAAGTCCCAAACTAAAGTTTAATGATTAGTTGACCATTTTCTCCATATAACAAACATTTTATCGGTTTCATTGCTGACTTAGACACATAGTCATTAAATTAACTAATACGATGAGTTATATAATACTACATTTATTGTAAAATTTGATATCTATCTAATCGGCTCATTGATGACTATGTATCTGGGTTATCAATGAACCTAATAAAATGTGTTTCTAGGAAAAAAACAGCAGGAAATGAGATTATGTCTAATGAGATGGATGCATTTTATATTACGAAATTTATTATTAACGTAAAAATGACAAAGTTGTTGTTAGTTTATGTAATTACTGTAGTCTTCGTTGGATGCATTTTATATTACGAAAAATATACAATTCATCAGGATAACAAGTTTTATGGTAAACGTTGTATTATATAACCCAACATATCCATCTCATCAGCTCAATTAATAGCTAGGCGTCAATGTCAACAATGAAACCAGTAAAATGTATGTTAGATGGAAAAAATTGTCAAATCATCACTAAATTTTAGTTTGGGACTTATTTGTAAATTATGGTAAAATAATAGAACTTTAATGAAACCTTACCGGAAAAATGGGTCAACTCGTTATTTTTTACCGATAACTCATGTTTTGTCATAATATTTTTGTGTAAGACTTTTTTGTAAATAAGGATAAATTTTTAAGACTTTTTTGAAGATTTCCCTATTATAGGGTTAATAAGTTTCACACATATTTCATCAAGAGAATCTATATTTTTTTTTCTAAAATGTTTACTATTTAAATACATTAATCCTAAATATTGTTCAATTTCTATAAAAACATAATTGTTTTTAATTAGTACTCATTACGAGATTGAAAACAAAACTAGTTTATTTTTTATATTTTTTCCTTTAATAACGAGTAAGATAACCAACTCCTCAAACTCTTTGATTAGCTAGCATTTTCATATCTCTCTTCCTAATAAAATCCTCTTTAAGGTGCCACATGTCATTTTTATAAACCATTCATATGACATGTGGCATTTTCTAAGACTTTCTTACTTTTTTTCCCGCTCATGGATTTTCCTCCTCAATCGGGTGTTTCAATCAATACAAAAAATCAGGAATTAATCTTCACTCAAATCTTGCCCCAAATTTCGATCCTTTGAATCGCTCTACAATTTAATTTCAGAATCATTCGAGGCAAACCAGTTACCCGTGGCTGGCCCTTCCCTTCCCTTCACATTCACTGTAACCTCGATTCAGGTATGTTTCATGGTCAATGACCCAAAGTTACCATCTACAAACCTTGCTTCATCCTCAATGTTTCTTTGAAATGAATCTGACATTGAGAAACCATTCAAAATAGAGGATCCTATTATCGCAACCATAATTGTACCCAAAAATGAACTATGTAAGACCCGAAACCCATTGATCTGAAACTGTAATAAATCATACGTTGAGATAGATGATTACCTACTGATATACGTTACCCATAGTCCCTTCCATTAAGAATAATGCCATCCACGTTAAAGTGAATGCTAGAAACATACCGACCATAACCACACGACAAATCCCTAATCTAGATAAGCATGACCAAAAGGGGTTCCATTGTCCACTTGACTTCCTCACACGTCATCGTTGTCCCATCGCTCGCACAAGCGTGCTAAAGAATGAAATACAACCTTGCATCGCATGTAATTTCCCAATCTAACTCGAGCGCGTAATCAAATGATAGATTATCTAAGGGTACTAAATCGAATCTTATGGAACAAAATTTTCTAGAATCAATACAACATCTTTGGTAGCCAAACTCATATGAAACAGGGATTCGCTAATGCTACTGAACAAGGAACTACTGATATACAACCATGACTTTCCAACAAGTCAATGTCTTACCAAACAGAAGACTTAAAACCTAATGGCTATTGAGCCACCAATAACCTTTCCACAATGCACCAAAACACTCAACTATATCAAAAAGACTAGCAAATCAAGAGCTAAGAGCCTCATCCTCATAATTGTCGGGATCCACCCATAATAGCTTACATATGCTAGTTCACAAAATGTCATGACACAATCTAACCAATAGAATGGTAAGCTCATGGTATAAAACCGCTACTGCCATCACTCATCCACGGGCCTGAAGACTCATGACCATCACCTCTATGGGCCTATAGGCACAGGACTATCATCCCAACGACCTACAAGAACCTATTCAACATCTCTAATAGCACTTATCGATCACAACACGAGACATAAAAGTCTAAAACACATAAACCACCTTAAAGCTTAGGCTGTTACTGGCACAACACAATACGGAAACATAGGTGTACGTAGTTACAAGATAAGATCGAAATTAGAATATTTGTTCCTACCAAGATTCACACAAGCACAAAGAGGGCATACAATCTGCCTTAGATCCACTACATTCCTTCTAGTTTACAAATCAACTCGAAGCGAGAAAAAATTTGTAACCAATAATTTTGCCACACGTAGTTGTAACCTTAAATTTTCTCGTAGCAGCCAACTGAAGCCTCAACAAATCCTATCTCTGGGTCAAACTAATTGAAGTACACAAAATTAGTACCGATATCACTCAATTGAGCAACTAAAACAAAATCCTAAATCTTGGAAAAAAATTTGAATGATCCTTCGATAGAACCCTAGCCGCTCACTGAAACTCTAAATCTCTTAGGGAAATTCCAAAATCACCCATAATAATACTAATTGAACTCTGGTCAGACCGACCTAACTTCCATCCTTGTCGACATAGTATTAAATAACTGAATTTCATGCAACTCAAGGTCACATCCTCTTCGCTTCCGATGTATGGACTCCTTTATTGCATACTTGAACCCTTGACCACTGTAAATGTATACATTAATTACTAAAACGAACCGAACCAACTAGATTCAAACAATGCCAATCTATAAACCTCACTAATACTATTGGTGCACTAGCGAACCTCAAACTACACCACTACATATCCTTACAGTCACACCAAAAATGAAGGTTGTCCTTAATCATTCAATTACTCCCACACTTATGATGATATTTGAACAAACACGAAACGAGGACAAGTGCACATATATACTATTGAACTTAATCATTAATCGCTCATCCTTGACAAATGTAATTGATCCTTATTATGAGATAACCAGGTCCTTTTAATTATGATATACAACCTGAGTAACAGTCTGCTTTTCGTTAAAACACTTAGTTCTCCCTTAGGAACCACTTTTCCAATGTGAGTTCATGTCCAACAAGTCGTACATCTCAAGGAAAACTCATGCATCTCTAAAGACAAAGGCTCAATCGGCTACCCAAGTCGTACCACGTGTGACAACCCGATACCTTTCCAGTCAACAAAAGTCATTTCCGTTAAATAAAATTTTGAATTTTAATTATTCCGTTAAGTTCGTAAGGGTTAGAAAACCATTTAAATTATATAAATAAAGTTTATATAACTTTCGGAACCAAAAACACTTGAAAAACCAAGATTTTTCCTCGAAAATCAGCCAAACTCGTTCAGCACATCGTTTTCGGTCGAAAACCCTCGGGCCGAAAACTGATATCGGCCAAGAACCCATCTCTGGCCAAAAACCCAACCGTTATAAAGGTTGTTCCTTGGAAACTTGATCATTTCTCACTCATTTCACCCGAAAACTCTATCATTTTGCTCCCAAGGATCATCTAAGAACACTCATATCTTCAAGAAGAAACCTTTGAATCTTCATACTTTTCCTCAAGAACACCAAGAACAGCCTTCATATCTTCAAGGGGCCGAAAACAGCAGCAGAACCGAAAACCTGTGTTTGGCTGAAAACCAGTTTTCGGCCAAGAACTCCTTGGAACCGAAAACCCCTTTAACACTTGCACCATTTCGGTAACTATTCCTAACACAAAAACAATTGTTTTTCTAACACTTTAATTAATGGTTTCACTAATTTAAATACAATTATGTGTTTAAATACTATTAGGATACCGTTAGTCCGCGTACGCCAACTCGAGGGTCATATTTTCAGTCCGCTATCCAGCTACAAGCACACACTATCTGTGAGTTCATACCACCACGTTTTCATTAATTTTCAAATGTTTTAAGGGGGGAATACAAGTAAAACACAAAATAATTTTGGGTTAACTTTCAAGAGATTTCAAACAGTTTTAAAGCATATCAAGTTGTTTCAACTAATTCAAACTATTTTAAATTGTACTTCAAACTACTACAAATGTTTTATACTTTTATTTCCCAAAGTACATCTTTATATATATATATATATATATATATATATATATATATATATATATATATATATATATATATGCCTTCTGCATATATGCATATAATATTATTTAAATAAAGTTTTAACCCTTTTGTAGCATGTCGAGCAAAAGGTTACCTATCTCATCATTTTATCGTGTTATTCAAACTGTTAAATTACTAAGACTTTCATTTCATACCGGGCATACATTTAAGCTATAATAGGTATAGTTTATGGAACACTACTACAAGGATACACTACTAAAATAATTATTTAAGTATAATTATTTTTCACTACAAAGTAATACATACAGTTTCAATTACAAGAAAACACTATAACACCAC